ATTACTTTTATTATATATATATATATATATATATATATAAACACATTCAGTAATATAATTTTAAAAATCTTGTGTGGTTTTAGTACGGCTTCCACCAAGTAGTAGGAAATACTTTAATATGGATGGTTTGTCTACTTTCAGATATTATGATCTTTGTATTAAATTATATGACACTTCTTTTTAACAGAATTTAAAAATATCACAAAGTAAGCTGTATCAAAATTAACTTTTCTTTTCATAATTAATAAATGCCATAAAACAACTTATATTAAAAATTTTTCCAAAGACATACAATTTTTCTGCCTTTGTTGGCTGAGGTTCTTGTTGATATGTTCAGTTTCTCAAAGATACTGTCTTCCCCTTGCTGATCTAACATTTCCACATCTTGATCTTGCAATTTATCAGCAACATACTGGATAGCTCTCATCCATTCATCCCTGTAATAATTATTAGAAAATCTTAAAATAATAGGTTATTCGTAACCATGACAGCAATTTTATCTGAAAAATATTAGTTTCTAAAGGTTTTGAAGGATTTTTATTATACTAATTTAATTTCACATATTATAGTGGCTTCATATGGGGTGCATATGATGAATAGGATATTAAGTTTTACTTCAAATGCCATTTTGCTTTTATAATTTAACATTATCTCTACCTTTAAGTACAACATTTACAGTGTATAATGTATATGCATTCAACACAACCAGCTTTGGTCATATTCTGGAAATCGTACAAGGTTATAATTCACTTGCTGTATTACTTTTTCTGTAGGTAATGTTAAATGACTTAAACCTTTTCTTTATTCATTCCTGCACATAATATCCAGACATCTGATGAAAACTCAAGCACTTGTACCCCAAAATATTGAAATGCATGGAGAAGTTGTTCTGAAGTTTTTGTTTTTTTGGTCAATTGAAACTGTAAATGATGGGAAGAAATGTTTTTACTTCTGTTTCTACGAAGCAAATTTGAAAAACTGAGATTATCAAATCAGGCTTAGCAAAATCAGCAGAAAAATGCAAAACCTTCTTATTGAGCTTACGAATACTTATGCTTATGGTAAGCAATAAAAAAATCATTTTAAGGCAGCTAAAACTTTGATTAAGCTAGATAAAAAAGTTAATAACTGGAAAATGGAAAATAAAGCTTCTGAAAGTTAATTAAAATGTAATAATTAGCCCTTCCAATTTTTGTTATGCTACTATTTATATTTCTCTATAACTGAATTATTCCTGATTACTTGTTATTTATGACTGATCAAAGATTAAAACATTTTGTTACCCAACACTGAAATAGTTCAATCTGCCAATAAGTTTTCTTCCAGTGCAAAAAAGTTGAAAAAAAACATTCCACTTGTATTTAAAAATTTTGTAATTTGATTTATTTGTTCACTGTAGATCACTTTAGTGCAGTTTAATTCAATGTCCGATTTTGTAGCTTAACCAAACTATAAGAATGTCAGTAGGCTAATCCAAATTGAAATATCAGTTCAAAGTAAGATAACAAAAACAAAAAACAGATCTTTTATCGTATTTAACACATTAATTCTAAAGATCTTATTCAATGTGCTATGAACGAACTGCATCTATCTAGTTTTGGGATAAATGATACTTCAGTCATTGTGCTTAGACATTCTTCAAAAAAAAAGTCCATGAAATTATTTCCAGAGGGATGAAAATACATTTCACATGAATTTAAAGAAGACTTCTGCTAAAATTTTCACTTGCTGAATTAACTCTTTAAACCATAATTTTTTGCGTATTCTGTCAGAATTATTTTCATGATTTCCTAATAATTATCACTATACCTTATGAAATTTCAATTTTCTTAATTTTGTGGATAATAACATGGTTTGGATTAGTTTTCAGCCAACTTGACATAAATGTTATCAGATGCTGTCACCGTGTGATGGATAAATTGGGATTTTTGGCTAGATGCTGGAATTGACCAAGTAGCAAGGTCCATTACATAACATGCATGTAAGCCTTTTTAGAATAATGTTTAAGTAAGAATTGTCTCAGATAATTTCATATTAATTAGTAAGAAAAAAAATTGATACATCATAAATTGTTTTTAAACACCTGAAAACTAAAATAACAAAACTAGGCTTAACAATAAAAAATAATGCATTTCACAATTTGCCTACAAAATTGCAAGTACAAGACCAGAATAAACCTATTTAGAATCAAAATAAGTCATAAAAAAAACCTTGAATATCATATAGGTGGTAGACACATAGAAAATACCAAAATTCAACTTGAAGATTTTTCTTTAAGATACAGATTACAAAAAATTATATACAAATTGATACACACTACTTATTAAAATCTATTTAAAAATATATTCTTACCTTTCTTTTTCTGACTCAACATGAAAAGTTCTCTCTATAACTGTAGTCCACTGCAACCCTCGAATTATAAAAGTAAAGGGCTTGGGACGATCTGCCTTCATTATCTGACAACCTAAGAGAAAAACTCCAGTTGTATCAACTTACATCAAATACATAGTTATGTATAACGAAACTAATCAAAGCTTAATTATATTAATTTTCAGTGCTTGAAAGTTCTGTTTTATTAGATTGAAAAATTAACTTGATACCATGAAAATACCCGGTGTTCATTTTTAAAGCATTTCTACAAATAGATTGACCTTAAACATATTTGAATATTAACACACAGATCATTCCAGATCTAATAATGAATAGTAGAGCCATGGCAACAATTGTAAACATGAACGTTTTGGAATTACACATTCTATCTTTGGCATCCTGTATATTCTCACAATGAAACATCATCACACCCCATTTCCTTAGAAGACTTTTCAATTTTAACTTCTGGACATGATGATCATGAACTGTTGATAAAAGAAAGTATTAAGGATGGAAATCCACGACTCAATAAAAATTCAAATTCTTTCTCCCTTGCTTTATTAAAATAGCTCTCTCTCTTCTTTCTTTTTATAATTTCATAACACTATTAATTGTATTTTTATATTAGTAATTATACTAAAGATTGTTCAATTTGCTATTTTTCATAAATCTGCTGAAGATGGAATATGTGTCATTCTGAAACATTTGTTAAAGATGTTTACAATTGTTGCCATGACTACTATTCATTCCAGATTTAGTTTCCCACGTTTAATCGTTACTGGTTCATCATGAGCATCCCGACAATGTTGTTTTATGTTAAATGCTATGATAGTGATGCAAAATTACCCATCATAGTTATTTATACTTTCTAGCATTCCTTTGATTGTAAAAAGACTGCATTTTTTTAATGTTTCAAAGCATATATCAAATGCAAATAATCCATCGGGAAGGTGGGACAGTCTGTTGAAGTAACTACCAGGCTCTCTCCATGTCGACATTGTCTGCTATAACACTAAGAAAAACTTTGCAACAAGATTTCTACCCATCACCTCGGAAAATTCTTGATGCCACTAACCATTTTTGTTCGCTAAGGCTTAGTCAAAGAAATGATCTATAATGTTCTCAAAATTAGTCACTAAAAATGCTGGTGATATCTGATGAATGCAGTAAAAAAATATTTACAAAAATGTACAAGTTTTCCTTACTAGAAAGCAGCACTATGTACAAATGGTATTTTTTGAAAATTAATACAACTGACGTGTGACTGATGTAGGCCTAGTCAGTGTATCGTGTGTTTTATGTATAAGAGATAAATTCAAGCTAATCTAACTATTGCACAGTTTATACCGATCTGTGTTAAGAAATTTACATAAATTATAATTTGAAGTATATTCATCCTCTAAATTTTGAATGTTAGTAGCTAAGCTATGCTAATGATATTCAGAAATTTTCCAAACATCTTCCAATATTCATGTTTAATTAAAATATAAATCTTGTATATATTTTGAATCGTGGTGTCTGTCCAAGAGTTCATCTGTCTCCTATTTATGGCAGCCACTTCCCACACTGCGTTTGAAAAGCTGTGCACACAGGCAAAGCTCAACATTCACTTTTGAAATGATGAGAGAAAAGGCATGAATAATGTTGATGCCACATCATATTTTGCAAGCAGGATATTTTACACTAATTAGGAAGTAATCACATTATCATTTACATTTCAAAATGTGATGTAACTTAAAGAATAAAAATGTAGATTTACCATATGTTATTGCTGAGCTCTTAGCATGACTGAAGTGCTAAACAACTACTTTTCGCAGTGTGATATATAAGTAGCTCAGAGCTTTGGCTCTGAATGAAACCAAGAGTGCAGCACAATTAATGTTTTTAAAGTCAATGAAATAATTTATATTGATAGATTAACTTAAACTTTTCTCATCACTGGTGATGGGTACTTTTGCTTGTATATGATAAAGCTAAGTATATATTTATACACAAAATCTTTTATGAAAAAAACTGTGAAAAACTTAAGTTATCAAATTATACTTACATGTAGCAACCTCAAATGACAGAAACTGTATTTTATCTGTGTACTGGTTAGATTAACACAAAAAAGTAAAATAAAATATCATATTTAAAGCAAGATTGATTAGTGAGAAAGAAAATATTATAATAACTAAACTTAAAACAGAGTGACTTTGTATGCATTAATCTCAATAGTGAAAGCACAACTCATTTCCTAAATATATTCCAATCATAGAGATTGATTTTTCTAACTTTAAATAAATGAAAACAATGTGACAGAACTTAAAAGTTCAAACCATTTGGATCTTCCATGATATCCTAAAATTATCTCAGCATATTCTAATAAAAACATATAAAAAAATATTCACACTGTTATACCATGCAAAAACAACAAATATATTAATTACAGCCTTATGTTAGCTACTACACTATCTAACAGAAATCACTGGAGAATTTCATAAAATATAGAAACAATAAACAGTAGTAATTGTATATTTATTTCCTCTTATTATATAAATAATTTTTAAAAAAGCACTGTTTTTTTTAACTATTATGTACACAAAAACATGATTCAACAATTGAAGGATATGTTTTATAACCCTATAACATAGAAGTAAAAAAAAAGTGTGTGTGTGTGTGTGTTTTGTTATAGCAAAGCCATATCGGGCTGTTTGCCATGTCCATCAAGGAGAATTGACCTCTTGATTTTAGTGCTGTAAATCTGGAGATGTACAGTACTGCTGTCCCACTGGGGGAAATAAATAAAGACCTGATTTTGGATAAGTTGTAAACATAGACATATACTAAAAATACAGAGCTCAAAAAGCAACTGTTTTACCTTTAGGAACTAAAGAACTAATTTTGGTTACTAAATAGTGCTTCAAGATAGAGAATGTTATTAGGCAATATACTTGGTAAAACAGTATGAAACAACAAAGATTTGATGAACTTCATAAATTTTCATCAGATCCTATTCGAAACTTCAGCAATTACATTTTTCCTTTACCCATCTCCATTTCAATAATACTCAACTAATTAATCATGTCTTTCAATGGAGTAATGATGAGATATAAAAAATATTTTAAAGGACCAAGTCCAAGACTTGACAAAAAAAAAGTCATTACAAATTGGCTCATAAGTTACATTTACATACCTCTGACAGTAAAATTGTTAAGGGGATCAGCATAACCATGCTCGGGTTTGCTTTTAAACCCTATGAGAGATCCATCTTCTAATAAGATAAAGTACCTGGGCCTCCAATTTTTGATGTGTTCACCTGAAATATCAATCACACTTAAAGTAAAACAATATATACAGTGATAACAACTTAAAATTTTGCACTAAAATGATAGTATTCGTAGTTCTACTATACCTATTTGTACAGCTGATATACCATAAAAAACTTTACGTACAAGGTAAAGATTGGATAAAATATTTTTTGAGGTTTATAATTTAGGTATGCTTCTCCATCCTTCAAATACAATTTAAAGTATTCAATTCTTACTTTACCATAATAGCCATAGTTATTCTCAATTAATAGATCACTTGGTCAAGGTTAAACTGAAGATATGTTGTTTCACATTTATCATAAAATTTGTCATTGATTAACATGAATATTAGGCCTATTGGCTTCTAATGCTTTGACAGCTTTCAGTGTTTAAACCATAACTTTTGATAACAATAAAATACTTTTTAGTGAAAGGTGGCCATCAGAAGGGGAGACTTCTGTAATTATGGTAAGTATTGCAGATTTACACATGGTAACTTCAGTCCAAATCAAGCATCTCTTAATTTTTGTGAAAGAGTTAAAATAAAAACACTGTTACACATACTTAAAATATTTGACACAGATATTTGAAAATAATACACGACACAGAAGATCTGTAAATATAAATAGGATATGTACATATTTCGAAATTTTTAATACAGGAAATTTAATTATGACAGTTAAATTTAATATTACAGAAGAATAATGTTGCTGTTAGCAGTCCTGAATTTGATAGTGAGAAAAAATAATAAATAGTAACCATTTGCTGGTACTTTCAAAAGTTAATAGACCTGAAAGATTGCATACTTTAATATCTGACTTTATCAAAAGACATTACTATTCTTTAATCTTTTTATTGCTTATAAAAAATTTTACTTGTCAAATGAAAAAACAATCCCTTTAACATCACAAACAGTGAAATCAGCACAAGCCTACTTAGAGTAAATAAACTGAAAAAAAGCAATATATTCTTCATCAATGAAGAGACCTTAAACAAATTAAAAGAACATAATAGAAGATAAGTTAGTTATCTTAATACACACACATGTGTTTGAATGTTACTAATCAAGTAAAATTTTGTATTAGAATAAACTGAGTTTCTATGACCCACTTATTTGCTTGAGTAGAAAGTTAAATTTCAAGAATTATTTCTCACTTAAATAGTATGAGCCAGTGCTATAATTACAACTATATAACAGACAAATGGTTAATCTAGATAACCACCTTATCCATACATTAAACATTGTAATGGAAATCCTTTAATCATTAATCGCACAGTTGATCTTTCGACAATTATAGGTATAAACAAGGAATATGAGAAATATTTTGATAAAATATAAAAGTTGCTTAAATTTAGCTACTTATTTAAAAAAAAATCAAAGTGTTTAAACAAATATTCATTTCTGAAAATGTAGATAGAAATAACTGGACAAAACAACAACAGAGGAGAATAGAAATTTTAACCAAAAAGCACATAATTTTTGAAATTTGCTACATAAATTAAGAAACAATATCTGTGGTATCAGCTAGAATTTAGATAAAGCAAAATATCTAAACATAAATTTTATTCTACAGTAATATGACATTCATCTCAACTACATTTACAAACATGTCAACATTTTCTTTTAGAAACTTTTGATCCAACAGCACAACTTAAGATGCTCGAACACTGAAATTTGTTTGCTTTTTTTGCACACATTCTACACGCGAGTGAAGATAACTTTATAAAATACACTTGGAATCAGACAAATTTCAAAGTTAGCAACTATTTGTGTTATTATTTGACAAAGATGATATTAGTGAAACAATACATATAATAAAATTACATTTATGAAATTTCTACAGACATGCCTCTTAAAATAAAATAAAAATATGGTGTAACAATGATCAATTTCTGTAAGAGTCTGTGTTTTACTTAAACATTATCATTAAAATAGAACAGGTATATCAAATGTTAACATGTTTTAAGAATAATGTCAATTGACAAAAAAGTAATATTCAAAAATGGTTTAATCTCTTAATACAAAGTCTTTGATCCTAAGATCCTCTTCACTGTCACCATTACACAATACTCTGAAGCTTTCATCCAGTGCTCTGCCTTGACAATCACTTTCCAGCTGTCAGCAACAACAGTTCAAATGTTTACATACATCTGGACAACAGTTGTGAAGGCAGAGAGATGAAAACTTCAGAGTATTGTATGGCACTGACAATGAAGAGGATCTCAGGATCAAAGGGGCTCTTTGTATTAATTCTTTCAGCATGAGCTCAATCCTTGAGACCAACCTCGGAACCATTTTGTGCTTGTTATAGTTTTCATGCTATAACTTTTAAATTAGTAAGCATATGTTAACGAAATTTGGCAGATAATCAGTAAACATTACAATGCTTTCATATGCAAAATATCAAATTTTTTTATTAAGTCTTAAGGTTTGTTAAGCAATGTTTTTCTAATGCCTTTTTTTTTTCTTTTTGTATGTTGCCTATCCAACATACAAAGTAATTTTCATTTTAAGATTAAAAATACTTTATAGATCAGAAAATTTTTAAATTTCACATGCAAAATCTTTATAATGTCCAGATAGTTATCAAACATTTCTTAAGAGAAACAATTTATATTTTATCTGTTATTTTCACTAACAAATCTCTATACGTGTTCAGTAGATTTGACCGATCTTATAACCATTATAATAAAATTAGGAAATTAATATAATTATGCTTCTTTTGTTCTAGAATGATAAAAATTATAACATGAAAACACAAATGTTTAGACTAATTAGTTTAAATCTCATAACATTATGCATTTATATATATTTATTATTTTATTACATTGACCTTTCAACCATGCCTGGCTAACAATACAGAAGTTACAATGACACGGCACACGTGCTCTCATGTTACCATATCCAATAATATGAAACTGACCTTTAGTTTTTACAAAGTGACCTGTCTTGGCTGTGTTTTAACAGACTAGTATTTTGTAAAATACAGTCACATTTCAATTATTACACATTATATATGTATACAGATTATTACTATTGTGAAATAAGTTCTTAAACTTATTTTTCTTAAAACTACCTTTGTACTCGGTTGGTGCATGACTTAGGTTGCTAAGCCTTTTAAAATTTTGCATGTGGAGGATATGAAACAGGATATATATACAGCTGAATAACCACAAAATCATAAATTATTATATCAATACCATAGAATTCCACTATAATTTATCAAGCTTATTAATTAAGCTGTATTTGGGTCTAAAAAAAATATGAAATTTCGAGCAAACTAAAGACACAACCTACATCCTTGAAATCTTGGTTCGAAAGAATGTGATGGCATCCTAACACATGTAAAGGGCTGAGAAAGCCATTAGGAGAACATTCTGAGCTTTTGATGGGTTATTCACATGTCATATCTTGAAGTAAGTGTATATAAGAGACTTTTTCCAAAAATGGAAAGAAGTGAGCAGGGCCACTGTGTTTGATTCAGCACGAGTGATATCTCAGCAAATAGAAAAGATTTGAGGTTCTTATTTTATATACCAGCTTGTCAATATCAGTAATTTGAATTCTTAATTCATACAAAACTAATTTTAACCAATGCTGCATTCAACATACCATGTAACACACACAAATCGATGTTTAACTGTGTTTTTTTAATAGTTACTTTAGAATTAAGAAATTAAATAATGTATAATACTAAAATTTGAATTATAAACTACAGTTTGATACCAAACTTCACATAAATTCATGAAATAGTAGTTCAATAAAATTTTTAATGCGAGTCCACAAACCCAATGACATGGCCTTTGGAGAGGGTTAAGAGAGCAAAATCATCTTTGAATAATAATTTCTAGCCAATTAACGTTTCCTAATATTAAGAACAATGTAAACAAAAAATAACAGCTTACATGTACAGCTTGTGGTAAAAATACTAGGGGCAAGAATGGCTAGGCTAAGTTTTAAAAACAAATAATAATAATATGCATCATTACATAGAAAACAAAATCATTTTTATATAACTCAAGAAGCAGAAAAAGGATTGTGTGTTTTAGTTCATTGATGGCATGTCAAAATCATAAAAATAACTAAAATCACAAGTACATATAAACAATAGGTGCTTGTGTGTTTGGCAGTGGTAAACATATATAGAGCTATAATGGCTAGACTAAAGTTTAAAAACAAATAATAATAATATGCATCATTACATCATTGATGACATGACAAAATAATAAAAAATAACTAAAATCACATGTGCATACAAACAATGTGTTTTCATTAATAGTACATCTGAAATTTCTGTTATGGATGGTAGCCTATATGATCACCTAAGTTTAATCATTAATTAGTAACCAGAGATTTCATCAAGTACAAAAATGAAAATTTTCAAACCTTTTACGATTTAACTGAAAAGGTTTTGGAAGCATTTGTGACACAGGGGTGGGAAGTGACACGGGGGCAGACCAGTTTTACCCTAATACAAATCAAGATTTATCTATCCAAGCCTATCATTTGTTACATTTGGCCATCTTGTCCCAATATTTGTAACAGTTAATGTTAGTTCAACATTGTATATATATACATGTATGGATGTTTTTGCATTGCCATCTAGCAACAAGCAGGGTTTAGCTGTTCTATTTAAGAAGGGGTCAAAGGTTGTTTTTATTAACATCATAGTTGATATATTCTGGATAGTTTCCAAAACACAATGAGAGACATACTTTATGTAAATAAGAATCCCAATCCTGAGAAATAACAAAATTAAACACAAAAGCACGAGCTCTGTATGTTCAGCTGCAAATAAAGGCAGGGAAAGGCTATCAGTGCGAACAAGTGTTATCCAATCATCTTTTAATATTTGTTGGACGTCATTTCCCGAGTACTTTAACACAAAACTGAGGTAGCAGGCAGGAATTATTTGCCCCAAGATGTGAAGAAAACAGACTAGTATGACTGTATAAATTATATTTACATAAAGATTTCTCTGTGAAACTTATCGAACCTCTTGTAAAC